GAGTTCCTGTGGATCCACAGAGAAAGGATCTTCAATTAACTTAAATTTAATGTCTTCTTTGAACAGTGTCAGTCTTCTGTCAAGCTCCTGGATCAAAAGTTCAGTGTCATTTGAAATATTTTTCTACTAACTCGGCATGCTTACACAATGGAATATGTTTCATACACATAGTAAAGTGGCACATTTCTCCTTTTGTCAGCTGGCTTTTGAATAACCTCTGTTTCATTTTGAAAGCCTTTACTGTTGCAAGAATGTGAAAAATAAGTTGACTTTTCCTTGAAGCTGTAAATTTAGTTCATTTAGATGACCTGTAATGTCACATAAAAGACACAAGTCATTATTCCAAACTTCACTATGCAGCTCTGGGAACTTTTTCGAGTCATTCTCTAAGAACTGAATGATTTCTTCCTTGAGAGCAACAAAACATTGCAATAGTCTTCCATGGCTTGACCAATGAACTTCTGTATGATAAAGTACATCGTTGCAGGTGGCACCAGCCTCTTCAAGAAATGCTTGAAATGACCTATGCTTCAGTCCCCTTGAAGGAATATAGTTTACAGTCGAAACTACCACTGACATTACATGGTCAAAATTTAAAACTTTGCTGCATAACACTTGCCGATGTACAATGCAATGATACTTGGTTATTTTTTTGCCAGCAAACTCTTCAACAAGAGTTACCGCACCAAGATGGAGCGCCATCAGTGCAAATGGCCACTATATTTTCAAATGTTATGCCAACTTTTCAGTTACACACTTGTTCCCTTGATTTGTGATTTCTTTTCCAATAGTTTGACCTCGCATGGAGTACAAACCAGCCAGTTCCGCGATTACTTCAAAGCTGTCATCAACACCTTGAACGAAAATTAGAAGTTGAGCAGTGTCCTTCAAATCAATGCTCTCGTCCATCACTAAAGAATAATAGCTGAATTTGTTTGCCTTCTGTTTTAACTAATCGTTAAAGTTATTGGCTATATCAGCTTCTCTTCGCTGCATGGTGATACGGGACAAGCTTAAATTCTCAAAAACATTTTTTTTATTGGGACATAATCCAGAAACTGCAATTAACAAACACTTCTTTATGAAGTCACCTTCAGTAAAAGATTTCCCAGCAGCAGCAATTTAGAAATCTGAAAACTAACCTTAGTAGCCGCCTCATTTTATGAGTGTACTTTCTTGAAAAACTCTTGTTCCCCACTGAGAATTTTCAACAATTTGGATGCTTTAATTTGTTTTTCATTGGTGTCCAATTTGGCT